TCTCCTCACATTCTGTCTCCTCTCTCTGGCTACAGCTTTTTCTTAACTCCCTGTCTCTTGCTCATTTCTCGGTGTCATTCTCTCCACTTTCAAAATTTCATGTCTTCTCTTCCGTCTAACCTCTTCCTCTTATTTCTGTGTGTTCTCTAATATTTGTGTCTTTGCCCTTTCAAACGTAAATAAAACCTGCAGCCTTTCTCTTGTTCTTTCATGAAGTTACGTTTCTGTCTCACGCTATCCTTCATTTTCTCTTTCATTCTCTTTATTTCCTTCGCGTGTATCTTCCTTTCTCACCTTTGTCATATTTTCTGTTTTCTCGCTTTCCTTTCCTCTTGGCTGCTCTCATTGCTTTGTATTTTTGTTTGTTTGTTTGTTTGTTTGTTTTCTCCGCCCCCTTCTTTTACTGCGTTCCCCGACTCTTCTCTAACCATCGTTCCTTCTTCCAGCTCAAAGAGGCCCCTGCTGTCCTCTCTCTGGAAGATATAACCACTGTCTGTGCTCAGTTCCTGAGGTTGGACTCCCAGAATGGTGGGTGGACTGACTTTGGGGAATGCCGCCCTTTCTTCCTGTCCCAGAGTCCCAGCTTCAAGGTTGAAGCCCACCCGGCCTAGAGCTCCTGTCTACACACTGGGCCGCAAGGCCTCACAGCAGGGGGCCGGCGGGCGGCCTGCCGGTGTAGATGCGGACAGAAGGCTCACCTTCCATGTCCCTGGTGACTGTGCTGAAGTGCATCCCGGCTGGGGATCCTGGTAGCCGGCGTAGTTTCGCCCGGTCCGAGGGCCTGGGGCCCCGGTGGGCGGTGCCCTCCGAGGCCTCGGCTGCAACAAGAGAGGCGATGCTGAACGCGCTGGCCCGGGCAGACAGCGGGCTCCGCGCGTCCATAGGCGCCCGGGCCTGACCGGCGCCGCCTCCGACTGCGTACGCCCAGCCGCACCGCGCCCAGCCCAGAGCAGGGGGCCCGGGGGCGGGGGCCTGTGGTGCCACTCACAGCCGCCGGTCCAGGGCCCAAGGGATTATGGCGTCATGAGACCCCCCCATTTTCAGCCAATATTGGCCCGGGAGTCCGAACAGTTGGAGCACCCTGGAAATTCAGGGCCCTCCTGCCTCGCAAACTCTCTGTCCCTAGTCTCTCCTCCCGGGGCCCTGTGTGACCAACGCCCCTTGAACATCCTGCAGCTTCTGCGGAGGTTGGGCGTCCCCTCTATTCTGCGAAGCCACCACCAGAGTCTACAGCCCCAAAGGAGAAGCTTCTATGTCTCGAGCAGCACTCAGTCCCCGTCTGAGATGGCAGGGCACTGGCAAGGCACTGGGGGCTGCCTGGGTCTGACCCTGCCCTTGGCCCCACCTGCCTCCACCTCCTCCCCGGCGGCCCCTGCACCTGGGTAAGAGAGCGGCTCCGGCTCTCGCACAGGCCACGAGCAGATAGCCCCAGGGCTGCGGAGTCCTTCGTCCCTCCGTGCCGCAGAGCTGGACCTCACCAGCAATTGCCCCTACAGGCCCCTTGGGTCAGCTTGCTTTCGTGGTGGGGAAGCGAGCCGTGGGACGCCGCCCAGGCCGCACAAGACCGGGAGCCCCAGCGTCACGCGCACCCCGCGCGCACTGCCCGCCTCTGGCCAGGACGCTTTTACATCCGGAGGGTGGGCAGTGCCCGCTCCTCCGACCTCCCTGCGCACCAGCGGGGCGCAGGGAGGACGGGGGCGGGGCCTGGCCGGCCGAGGGAGCTGAGGACACGTCGGAGAAATTTAGACCGCATGGTGGGGTGCTGTCCCCTCTTCACCCTGCAGCCAGCCTGCCCACAGGAAAGGCCTAGCTGCTAAGGTGCAGGGCCAGGCACTCAGCTTTCGGGCCTCAAGACATTACATCAATGCCCACTTCTCCTGTACCTTCCCTTCACCTCTCTGGCCCGTTCAGTATGCCCCTGCCCTTTGCGCACAGGATATGAAGCCCAGAACCTCCTAGATTGTACTAACTATTGGTAGACAAGGCCCAGTTTCCAAGGCCTTTCTGTCTAGGACTCTGTAGCCCTTCTGCTGAACTGACTCAGGATGTAGTGGGGTGCATGCAGCCTCTCCTGGGTTTTTGACAGTCTCCGGGTGGGGACCTCCATCTCTGGGCTGTAGCAGCTACTAAGTGGAAGGATCAAGGCTAGGAGTGCAGGGAGTGGGTATCCAGGACCTGTATGATAGATTGGGGTGTGGGAGGGGTGTTGTGTGTAATTGGACTGTTGCCCTATAGTATCCTTGAAAGCTTAGGGACAAGAATGCTAAGAAAAAGAGGCTGCCGGGAAGTCGTTTCTTGATCCTCAAGTGGCTGGCCATTCAGGGGACTGGCAATGACAGTGATCTGTGTCACTGGCCTGGGGCAGGCCTAAGGAGGGTAGTGTGGGATTAGGTGGGCCATAGGTTCTTTCCCTCTTTCCTGAACAGTGCTAGCTCATTGTCTCCAGCTCAATAGGAGGGCCCAGTCTTGGGCAGGTGCATAAAGGTCGCAGTAGCGATGCAAAGATACAGCAGCATCAAAGATAGTCCACAGAGCGTCTGTAAATTGAGTCCCATGTGAGGATGTAGGGCAGGGCTCTGACAGGTGATTTTTGCAAACCAGGGATGTACATCATCCCAGGGTGGAGAAGCTGAGGTTTTCCCCAGTACCTCCCCCTCCCCCAGGGCTGCAGTCACATCCTGGACCTCAGTGCGGCTAATATTGAGAAGTGAAAGTGAAAACCTCTGAAACTCCTGGTTGCTCTGGGTCAGCCCTCGGGTCCGTCCTGATGCCCCAGCGTCACCTGCAGTGACAGAGAAATCTCCCTAGTCTCCGTTAACCTCTTCTTGCTGTGGCTGCACTTGCAATCCACAGTTGGGTCAGTAAACACATCACAGCAAACAATCCCCTGAGCAAAGGCTGGCCGCGTGTGAGGGGCCCCACTTAGCATGCTCAGTAGGTGGCTAGCTCGCTCCACTCGCATTGGATAGGCACCTCTTCGATTACCCTCATCCTTCCTTCCCAACTCTTTCCCCACACTAGCCATTACAGTAGAAAAATTGAACCCTTAGGAAGACTAGCTTAAGAAACCCGAAACCCTGCAAGTGCGAGTACACCCAAGCCTCCCGTCCGCTGTAGAGCAAACGCCCCTAGCACTACAGGACCCAGCTCTTAGGACCGCCCTTTCCCTGGGCACAGCACGGAAACTGTGAGGTCGAAGCCTGTTCGCCCAGTAACTGGCCAGCGCTCCGCTCCCCGCGACGCTGCCTCATGACCGGTTCTTGCCCGCAGCGCAAGGAACGAATCCACTCGGCAGTCCTACACCCCACGCGCGTAGATTCAGAACGGACACAGAGCCTTATCCACCCCGGGAAATGCTCCTCCCTCACCTGCACGGGCCGCCGCTCCCTTTTGCCTCGCTCCCCCTGCCGGCGAGGCTTCTACCGTAGCCGTAAGGGGTTTGAGGGCGAACGGGGTTTGCGCCGAGAGCTCATGAGATACACCTCTTAGTCCTGAGGGTGCAATGTAGGGTCGAGGCCTGGGCTGAACCCCCTGCTCCTCCACGTGCCACGCAGAGTGAGAAGACCTGCAATTCGCCAAGGCTTGAGGCAGGAGGTTGACATCCCTGACTAGACCATTTTACAGGCCCTAAAACTGATGTCTAACGTTGAGACTGACTGCTGGGAGGAAAGGAGTGGGGCTCAGAGGCTTGAGACTGGGGATGCTGAATGGGGCTGAGAAGTCACGCAGCTTGCTTTTTATTTTATTTTTTATTTACTTTTAAAACTTTTCCCCCTTGAACCCTGGGCTTTGTGGCTGGCAGTATGGGCTCCTGGCTGCACCCAGCACCGTGGCTGCATTCTGCCGCAACTCACACACCCCTTGGTCGGCCTCTACGGGTCTGCAGGGTCGGACGCGAAACCAGTGGAATTCCTAAAGTTCCCAGTGCGAAGGGAGCAGACCCCTAGAGAATCCTGCCGGCCTTGCTCTGGCTCGACTCCGCCTCCCTTGGGTCCACGTGGCAGCCCCAGGGGAGCGGGCAAATCAGCCCCTTACAACCACCAGCCCCACTCCTCATTCCCTGTCTGTTGTAAAGACGCGGGCCTCTCGGAGCTGGCTGCCAGCCGCACTGATCCTGCGCACCTTCGTCTCCCGCGGCCCTGACAGCCCACGGATTTTAGGCCTTCCTGGCTCCTCAAACAAAGTGCGCGGGCCCACGGGGCTCCCAGCATCGACTCCTGGCTACCTGGAGCAAAAATGCATACAGGTGTACCCGCGCAGAGATCGGGCGCAGGGATCACCTCCTCCAGAAATCAGAACATGGAGGGCAGACCCAGGCTACGTCCCTATAGGCGTTGAGCGAGGCTAGGAGAGAGGCTGGGCTTTACGTGACCCGGTTAGTTCATTCAGGATTGCTAGCTGGAAATTGCCTCCATCTCCTGCCTGCACGCAGCCTCAAGGACTCAAAGGAAGCCGATGGCTATGCCAGGAACAACTTCCCCGACTTCTGGGTTGACGTCCGCGGCTCTGCCTCGGCGCCCGGGACAAGGACGCGCGCGAGTCTCCGAAGCGCAGGGGTGGGAGTTCGACCTTCGCCGGAGCCGGGAGCCGCGGGCTTGCGGGAGGCTCTGTGCTCTTTCCCGCTCCCAGCCCCCTGGAGGCTGCCTCCGCAGGAACCCAGGCCCCTCGGGCGCGCTTCGTCGTCAGTCTGTCCACGTAGGTCATTGGCCCGAGGCTGTAACCAAGTCATTCTGGGTAACCCTGGGGGACAAGGGCAGATCGGGAGGACCACCACCCCCGGGCTCTGGAGGCACGCAGGTAAGAACCGTGCCTCACATTTGGCTGGGGCCAAATGACCCTCCCTGGTCTCCAGCCTCCAAACTTTGGGAAATTTTGTGGGGTAACTTGTACTGAGGAGCGCCCTGGAGGCTCTACGTCCCATCGAAATCTAGGTCGTACATCCCACCAGAGCGTGCATGTGCAACCACTAACACAAGCGCCGCGTGTGCAAACGCTGCTGTACCCAGCCAGAAGTAGGCGCTGCGGTAGCTCCTGGTGCAGCAGAGACACTGTTCAGAGATGGTGCGCCCTGAGGCTCGGCTCTTCTTCTTCTCTTCTTCTCTTCTCTTCTTCTCCCCTCCTCTCCTCCCTTCCCTTCCCTTCCTCTCCCCTCCCCTCCCCTTCCCTCATTTCTCCTCTCCCTTTCCC